CCAGCGGTGAGGGGGAGAGAAGCCGCCCCCAGGACGAGCTGTGTCGGCCGCACGGCGCCTTTGTTGCCATGGCGCCCTGTGCGGTCGCACAGCTCGCACACCCCTAAGGCCGGCCCTGCATATTTCTATCCCCCAGATCATTCGCTCCCATCTTGGCCTGAACACGTGTCCTCCGCCACCAGCCGTGACTCTCATTTGTCCATAGAACTTCTCCCAAATGCTTTTGCTTGCCCTGAGGTCCTCCTGCCCTTCAGATCCTGACTATTCATGAATTCCCATGTCAGATTCTGGTGGGGTCAGCCAAACCACACAGGACTTATTGGATTTCCACAGGCCTATGCCAGACCCACATGGTCTTGAGCAGGTAGTGACCTGCACTAGATCGCCTACCACATCTTACCCACATCTGGAAAGGTCCCATCAATGCTGAAAGATACAGTATATCCAGGTTTTAAAGCAGCATATGCTCCCATCCAGATGTCTTTTTCAGAGAAGGCCTTGCAAATTTCAGCAGGACAATGCTAAACTGCATACTGCATCTATAACAACAGCATGGCTCAGTAGTAGAAGAGTCTGAGTGCTTAGCCTGCCTGCCTGCCTGCCTGCAGTCCAGACCTTTCACCAATTGAAAATATTTGGTGAATCTTGAAACAAAAAATCCGACAATGAAGACCCAGGACTGTTGAGCAGTTGGAATCCTATATCAGGCAAGAATGAGACAATATTGCTCTCCCAAAACTTCAGCAACCGGTCTCCTCAGTTCCCAGACGTTTACAAAGTGTTGGTTAAAGAAGAGGGGATGCTACACCGTGGTAAACATGGCCCTGTCCCAACTTTTTTGAGATGTGTTGCTGCCATCAACTTCAAAATTACCTTTTTTTTTTTTACTTAAAATGGTGCATTTTCTCAGTTTAAACATTTGATATGTTTTCTATTTTCGATTGTGAATAAAATATGAGTTTATGAGATTTGCAAATCATTGCATTCTGTTTTTGTAGATTTTACACAGCGTCCCAACTTTTTTGGAATTGGGGTTGTAAGATAGAAGTAGATTGTGCACACAGGGGCTCCATCCTCAGTAATTCATCATAACCCAGAGATGTGATTTGCAGAATTCACTTCTACTCTCTTAAAGTGACATTAAAGTTAAAAAAATTCCATCCCCCCCACCAATGCTGCTTTAAGGACTTACCTTAAATCAGGGGTGCCCATTAGGTAGATCGTGATCTACCAGTAGCTCTCAAAGCTGATGCTGGTAGATCACAAAGGGTGTGAATGGTGGCCCCTTTATTCCATTTTGGTATATTTATTAAGCTGTGCACACATAATTACCTATTAGCCCGATTCTGCTGAGCCAAGCTCCATGACCCCTTTCTGGTGGATACTGGTGGTTGAAGTGCTATGTATTACATCAAAGAATATTAGTTTACACAGTCTGTTGCAAAATACAGCAAGGAGAGACAGCCAGGAGGATGAGCAAGGAGAGACAGCCAGGAGGATGAGCAAGGAGAGACAGCCAGGAGGATGAGCAAGGAGAGAAAGCCAGGAGAGAGAGAGCTTTTTTTTTGTTGGTAGATCTCATGTAGCTCGTCATTTGAAAAGTAGATCTTAACACAACAATTGTGGGCACCCCTGCCTTAAATGATGCCTCTTGATCCGATCATCTTCTTCTTTTCAGTAGTTTTCAGGAGTACCCCCAGGGCTGGTGCCAGTCTCTGATCCAGTGCTGACTTCTGTCTCTTCCTTCCTACCTAGCATCGGATATAGGCAAAAAAAGCGAGGGTTTAATTG